AGCGAAAATCACATCCTTAATAGTTGATATTGATACATATTGATACCATACATCATATCTTATAGCGAACCTATAACTATTAATAACGTTGATATGGAAAAATCCATGTTGTCCAATAGCTGGAATCTATAACGAAGACAATGCAGTGATTATGAGGGAAGCATCTTGGAACATCTTGTGGGTGTCCGACTATTCCCATTTTGAAATGCTCAGAGTTTTCGTAATCACATTATAGAAGATGTGGGTTGATTTTTGGGGCTGACCATAAACCAATCGAACTTTGATGGACCATAAACTCTTGGGCACGGAAATTCCTGGGATACCTGGAAATGATGGTTTAGATCGGGGGAATCCGAACAAATGGCCGTATAACAACGATTTTTAGGTTAGTGAATACTACAATTCAGTAGAGATGGATTGATTTGTGCGAGGATTAGGCAAATATCAATGGAAGATACTACAAGATCTGGTGAAACAGTTTTTTGTTTCATTCTATCTCCATAATAACTATATATGAAATATCTGGTGAACCATTTTTTTCTTCCCTTCATCTCCATTATTTTTTCCGATATACCATGTGGTTATTTAACATAGCGAACTGGAAAATCACCATTTTCAATCGGTAAACCATTTATTTCTATGGGCCATCTATACATGGCAAACTGTTAAATAACCAGATGGTATAAACCCATGCTCAATTATAAACCCATTATAAGATAATATAATGAACTATGCAGAATTCACCTCTCCATAGGGTGAATGGGCTTAGAATTCCCTCTCCATTAACTGTTAAATAACCAGATGGTAGCTCAATGACTCAATTATAAGATGGTTTACCTTTTAATAGCATGGTGGATCTTTCCAGTTCGCAAACTGTTAGTCATAACCAGAGGGTATATATATATATATCATATCTAGCGGCTGGTTGGTGGTTGACCTACCCCTCTGAAAAATTGTCCAGTATAAACCATTATTACTGGGTAAATCAACTATAGAATTCCACCATTTTTAATGGATAAATCCACCATTTCTATGGCCATTTTCACCCTATTTCCGGATGCCAGGGAGGTGAATGGCTTCAAATTCCAAGTGGGCCCACCAGTTGGTTCCAGTGCAAAGCTGAGAACGGCCACGGGTGGGCAATGAAAAGGTTGGAAGGGATGAAGACCTTCAGGGGGTTTAGATGGTTTTATATAATGTAGATGATTTCAAGATGGTTTTAGATGATTTTAAGATGGTTTTAGATGATTTCAAGATGGTTTTAGATGATTTCAAGATGGTTTTAGATGATTTTAAGATGGTTTTAGATGATTTCAAGATGGTTTTAGATGATTTCAAGATGGTTTTAGATGATTTCAAGATGGTTTTAGATGATTTCAAGATGGTTTTAGATGATTTTAAGATGGTTTTAGATGATTTCAAGATGGTTTTAGATGATTTTAAGATGGTTTTAGATGATTTCAAGATGGTTTTAGATGATTTCAAGATGGTTTTAGATGATTTCAAGATGGTTTTAGATGATTTCAAGATGGTTTTAGATGATTTCAAGATGGTTTTAGATGATTTCAAGATGGTTTTAGATGATTTCAAGATGGTTATAGATGGTCTTCAATGGTTTTATATTCCAGTTCGGTAAAGACATGAGGCTTTTCATCATCCAAATCTCTGGCCTCAGGTTCAGCTCCTGAGGCTGAAAATGGGACGGCCGATGGAGTGGTTTTTTTTTGGCTTGTTCACCATAGAAACGTTCATCATCGTTCATCATGGTTTGATGAAAACAATCATGGCCTGGATAAGGATGGATAAGGAACATATAGAAACATCATGGTTTGAATTGGTGAATCAAAGTGATGATGAGCTGAAGTGGATTCCAATGAAGTCCAGGGTTTGCATCCTTGACGTTTCACATGTAGCCAGTGTGTTTCTTGATGCAAACATCTGGGTAAATTGCAGCGACCTCATTTGACTTCAGCATAGATGATGGTTCGTAGGTGAAATCATCCCCACATGGCCTTAAATCTGGTTTGGGACATATTGAAAAACAACATGCACACATTTTTTCAACCGGTGATCTACAGTTGTTGTTTCTATTTTTTAAACATTTGATGCAAGAAAAAGGTACCGATTTTTTTTTTGGTTGGGCCCAACATGGATTCCCCATTTTGCCTTCCGTTTTTCGAAGCCTGAGTTTTTTCGAGGCCTGGGAAGCCGGCTACGAAGGTTACTGGAATGACTGGGGAGCGAGCTGGTCAGAATGGGGTGGCTGGCAATCTAGGGACCGCCTGCTGCTGTGTCAGTGCGACATGTCAGTTGTGAGGCTTTGAGGTCTGAAGATCAGGTCATTTCGAAATCAAAAAGACGACTCGATCCATTTTGTCATGATGATTTTCATCATGTCCATGGCCCAGTGGAAAATCGAACATGGCCGACGTCCGTCGCATGGCATGGTCCGTGTCCGTGAGGACTGGAAGTCTTCCAAAGGCTCTTCGAAAGGCTATCACAAAGGCACTCCTTCTTGGAGCTATGCCGAGCCCAAGGCGCAGAATTGGGAGTCAGGTGCCAAGTTAAACTTGGATGGTCAATAAGAAACATCCATATCCCCAAAACATCCATAAAAACCAAGGATTTCTTATTAAAAAAAAATCGGGGGTCACCAGGTGACCCATCTGTGTTTTTTTTCAGAGTTTCACTGGTGGATTTCCGACATCGATGATCTGCTGCCACGTTCAGGACGCCTGGCAGGAATGGGACTGGGAGGAGGACCTGTGGGACGAAGGCTCCGAATGGGATGAGTACATCACCGTGAAGGAGACGACGTCGGAGGGTGAATCGGGTGGAGATGGAGATGGCCAGATTTTTTTGTTTGAGCGTGTCGACGAAGAGCATATATCAACATATATCAACATATATCAAATACTAATAGCGTATAATATGGCACTAATAGTGTATATAATATGCTACTCATAGTGTATATAATATGCTACTCATAGTGTATATAATATGCTACTAATAGTGTGTATAATATTCTACTAATAGTGTATAGAAGGTTCACTCCGACCGTAAACGAGGGAATCTATATCTGTCTCTCCCTCTCTCTATATGAATAAAACTCGGAAAATAGATGAAAATAGTGGAAACTATGATTTAACCATGTTAAACATATCATGGGAATATCATGGGAAATTGCTGGGGGGGTTCTTAAGTCATGGAGGATCCCCTGGCGTCACCATAGCTTTCAATACGAAGACATGGTCATCCATGACTGGATGAGAACGGGGTAGTCGTAAGAGTCCAACAGCACAGATAAAACTGAGGGTTTTATATACAAAAACAACATAAAAACAAAGAAAACTGAGGAAAATCAAGGTTTTATTTTTATTTTGTTTTTTTTGTGATTCTTCCTGTCGAGTTTTTTTTTGATCAGTCTGTTTTTGATTGTGTGTTTCCGTGTTTTTTTGTTTCACTTGTTTTTTTTGCTAAAATCAACTTTCTTTGTTGAAGCCGGCCTCTTAAGGGTAGTCACATTATAGGAAATCACCATATGGGAATATACCCAGATCCCAGAAAAAATAGGGATATTCTGAAGGGAATATCACCGACCTTGGGTGGATCCATCAAAGAAGTGGGCAGGAAAAGTATGGCAGTATGATGAAAGGAATATGGGGCTGGGTCAAAACTTACTCATTATGATGGTAAATGGAACCGCATGTACACATAGAAATGGCTATGGATCAATATCTATAGATACATTTTTAGTGGGATGAACATCCATTTACCAGCGATTTTGGGGTTCACGAGGTACCATGAGGTACCAGGGTGCCATGATCCATAGCCATATATCACCGAGATCCAAGCTGAGAAAACGATCTGAGTCGTAAACCTCTACCAAACCAGGGGAGTTCTTGAGGAAATTCCCAAAGTGAAAGGTGCCATAAATTCCTTTGGCGTCTCCATGCGATGTGTGAGGCTTTGGTAGATCAGCAAAAACCTTTAAGCATCAACTCCAGTTTTTTTTCATTTTCCATATAGCTTTCATAACCAGAGGGTATCGTTTTCTTTCCAGACCTTTGGGGTCTTCGAATGGGGATGTCACCAGATGCTTCAGGTCCCAGGTCGTCCATCCAGTCCGACTTGAAAAATGGCGGAGTTTTTTTGGTCCCAAAGAATCAATGGGGAGATCTTCAGGATCCTAAAATGGAAGTACCTACCATTTTTTTAAGGCCTATCAAATTTTCGGATCCTGGAATTCCCACTTGACAGAACAGTTGATAGATGGTAAACATTTATCCCCATAGATTTCTAGGGTTTCAACATGTTTCAACCATCCCAAATTTCGGATTGACATCCGACCAACCCTAGAAAATCCTAGAAATCATGGGATAAATAAACTCTAGAGATCCCCCAATTTCGATGGCTTTCATCGGGGATTTCTCAACGGCCCTGGCCCGCCCGTGTCACCAGCGGTGACGGAGGACTCCACGGTTCGGGTGGAGCTAAGTGGGGCCGAGTTAGGAGATGCAGATCTCAAGGTGGGCCCCGTGCGATATATGCGAGGTTTATGGCGGGGTTATAACAGGGGAGATCTGGGGATGATGATGCCACTAATAGTGTTTTATAGTGTATGTATATATATATATATGTGTATGTGTATATTAAATATGCTACTAATGACGTATAATGTGCTACTGATATATAGTGTATAATGTGCTACTAATAGTGTATATTAGATGCTACTAATGGTGTATAGAACATCCATTTACCAGGTGACATGGCGGCTTTACAACAGGGGATATGTGGGGATATGATGGTGGATGATGGTGGTGATTGTCATCAATGACAGGGAATAGTGGCCATGATTTTTGGGGTTTACTACCCTCTGGTAATGACTAACATAGCTATTGAAAATGACCATAGAAATAGTGGATTTTCCCATTAAAAATGGTGATTTTCAATAGCTCTGTTAAATTACCAGAGGGTAGCAAGAGTGACATTAGCTGTTGATTCCAGTGTACCCTGTCCCCATCTGTCCCCTCTTCCTCTCTCTCTCTCTCATATTCCCTATCTCTTTGCTCGTCCTCACCTTTGGTATCATCAGAGTTGTTTTTTTTTGATGGTTTCATCATTGGTATATGATCTTTTATGTCACCCAAGATACCCATGTCGTTCATGTCATTCTGGGCATCTCCCAGTCTCCCACAGGAATTAATGCAGTACCTTGATGAATACATGGAGCGATACGTGGACGAAAACGGCGGTCACTACAACCTGAACATCGACCTGTCCTGCAACTCCTACGTCACCGACAACGGTGTTTCGTCACATTTGGTACCTTTTTTGCAGAAGTGGCCCGGCATCCCAGGATAGAAAAAAGCCTTGACCCTTGATGAAATCAGATGGCTTTGTCCAAAGATAGGGGAAAGGCACTTATCTCATGGTTGATCATCATGTTTCACATCTTTGAATGGCATTCATTTTTTTGGCGGGAAAAATACGGCCCCTTGATCAGCTTTGTTTCGGCCTCCGTTGAAACCAAAGTCTCAGCATGGCCGAGCTCCTCGTTTCGCCTCAGATTGGGCATCTAAGGCCCGTTTGTCAGAGGTTGAAGCTCTATAAAAATGCCCTGGGCGATCCGACCCTCAAGGCAAGACAACTGATTCAGAGTTGCCCCAAGCCACTGTGAATTAAGGCCTCCATAAGGGGCAGTACATGGGTGATTTTCACGTATTTTTGTTTGATTGTTTGCCAATGTCTTTGCCAACGTCTTCCATGTTTTTTTCGACTGTATCTGGAGTGTAGGCTTTGAGCAACTGGGTGGCAGATGGATATGTCGTCGCCTCAGTTGCCGCTGTGAAGACTTGTGCCTTAGATCTGTGAGCCACAAGAGTGGTTCGCAACTGGGGGCTACCCTCTGGTAATTTAACATAGCTATGGAAAATCACCATTTTTAATGGGAAAACTCACTATAAATGGTCATGTTCAATAGCTATGTTAAATTACCAGAGGGTATAAGATGTCAAAACCATTTTATAAATGGGACCATTTGCAAGTGGGATAAGCCACGAAATGGGGACTTACGATATGTGGGATGATCCAGTGTCTTAGTCTCTGGCTGAGTCACCGCGTTTTGCAGGTCATTTTTGGAGATTCAATATCATTCCTCACATTCAACGCTTGCATATCATTATGATATGGTTACTATATGATTCTATTTGTATGCACATTTTACACTGAATACTAAACACACACACACACATGTATATATATAATTAAAAACACATACATAAATGCATATGTACATATCCACATTATTCTGTAGAATTCTAGTGTTAAAACATATACATACTGCCAACACACACACACACATGAATAGGAACCTGATTATATTTGGATGAACCATACGGATCTCATTGTGACGTCACTGGGATGGTTTAGATATGATGGAAAATCAGGCACACTTTTCAGCTATTTTCGGGTTAGTGAATCATTATAATTCAGCCAGATTGTACAGCTATAGGTTTGATATATAGGTCATTCAGGCAGATTATGGTTACAATATGAAACACCAATTATTGTATTCCTGTGTTATGATATGTTATGATGAAAATTCAGCCAGAGAGCATTGATGTTTTTTTTTAGTGGATTTATGGTGATTTAATGGTGATGCATGTGGATTTAATCATCAATATGGATGTATCCAATGAATAATGGAGACACTCTCTGGTAGTTTAACATTGCTCTTGAAATGGCCCATACATAGTTGATTTACCTAGAAAAATGGCTGTTATGAATGGTGGTTGTCGATAGCTATGTAACAGTTTACCTATTGGGCAAAGCCATGTATATCATCCCAACTCCAATGATTTAACCACCAATATTTTGAAATATCGCCATTAATGGTTACCAGTAACTGAGTAACCCACGATATTAACATTGATTACCACGATATTTATTATCCCATATCTCCATCGTTATGAATTATTCATATCAATAAGCGTCAATATTGCTAATCCCCATAATCTTTCATGGTTAAATCCAGTTTTTTTGCATGGTTAATCCATGTTAATCCCCTCATTTTTTTAGATCAGTTCATCCTCCATTTAGATCAGTTCATCCTCCATTTAGATCAGTTCATCCTCCATTTAGATCAGTTCATCCTCCATTTAGATCAGTTCATCCTCCATTTAGATCGGTTCATCCTCCATTTAGATCGGTTCATCCTCCATTTAGATCGGTTCATCCTCCATTTAGATCGGTTCATCCTCCATTTAGATCGGTTCATCCTCCATTTAGATCGGTTCATCCTCCATTTAGATCAGTTCATCCTCCATTTAGATCAGTTCATCCTCCATTTAGATCAGTTCATCCTCCATTTAGATCGGTTCATCCTCCATTTAGATCGGTTCATCCTCCATTTAGATCGGTTCATCCTCCATTTAGATCAGTTCATCCTCCATTTAGATCAGTTCATCCTCCATTTAGATCAGTTCATCCTCCATTTAGATCAGTTCATCCATCAGACATTCCCTAATTTTCCGGTGGCGAAATCCTCCAGACGCTCCCTGAGGCGCAAGAGCTGCATCTGTCGGACCTTTCCGGCAAGGTGGGGCTTTCGGTCGCCAGGAACCGTGCCGATTTCACGGGTTTTTGGTAAGCCAAAAATGGTGATTTAACCAGCTAAAATGGTGGTATACAATGAGAATATCATGGGGATAGAAATTGATGTATCTGAATGTATATGATGTACACTAATAATGATGTTTTTCTGTGCAACGGCCTCAGGCAAGGTGTAAATATGTGTTTTTGTGGTTATCCCATCAAATAATTGCTTACAATTGATCGCCTTATATTCGATGAGGGGAAAATTGAACAGTTTTTCACCAATAGATTTGCAAAGGAAACATCCTTGGTTTTCTATATAGATTTTCTCAAGGAAACCAACCAATTTTCCATAATGATCCCATAAAAGTCACAATCGTTTTAGACATGGTTTAATATTCAGAAGTGTGTGTTTACGTGTGTAAATAGAGGGCCTGTATCTCATTCATGAGTATTCATGAAAAACTGAAAAACTACTAGATCCCAATATATCCTAGTTGTTTGTCTGTTTTTTGTCAATAAAGGTGGTGAGTATTCATTCACTCATCCCAATCCCCCTTTTGTCAGAGTCCCCATGGCCAGGTGTCCAGCGATGCGGTGCTGCATTTGTTGAAGGACTCCGCGCGATGCGGTTGACGCTTTAAGGGTATGGTGATGATTCATATGTTTTCTTTAAGTATGATCCACATTTTTTTTTAACAAATAGTTTGGTAAAACTCAGGTGATTTGTACACATTGTGATCAGTATGATTAACAAATCTAAATGGACAATCCTATATTTTATAGATTTTTATAGATGAATGTCCCATTCCTAGGATTGACCTCCATTGATTGGGGATTTCCCATTGCTATGTTTGATTACAGGGTACCAGCCACCGGCACCAATGCATCGTCGTTTTAAGATAAATGATAGATGATGTAAAGGCAAAACATATAGGGATATGATGAGATGTGATGCGATACTACACCCTCCATGTAAACGTTTACATAGATTCACAATAGATGTGGACCCAGAATTTGTAGATCATTTTCCACATGAGAAACCGTTGGTTTTCCACATGTCGCTTAGTTTTACCCTACACATGGCGCCATCACAGAACTGGGCCCGCGTTGTGTCAGGAGATCCATCGGAAACAGAACTATCCCTGTAGCAATGGGAAAGGAAAATGTCCCCTCTGGTGCGACCCGGACAGTGCTTTTTTGTCGCGGCTGCGGGCTGCTGGTGAGAAAAGCATCAGCTGTGAATGGCAACGGCCATTTCGAAATGCCGTTGAAATACTCATGATTTTACGATTGATTTTATCACTGGATCTAAAGAAATCCAGTGTTGGGTCAATGATTTTCGACCTTGCAATTTAACATGCCTCTCGAACATGGCTCATTGATAGATGATTTGCCTATTGTAAATGGAGATTTTGCAGTTCGCTACGTGAAATTTCCCCTCTGGGTATGTGTCACGGCCTTGTTGGGGATGGGCAACTCATGGTAGGGTAGCAGGGTAGGGGAAGCTCGAACGTCAGCCAGATCTTGGACTTCAGGCTTACTTGATCTACCCTTCAGTCATTTCATGTGAATATCACCATCAAAGATGAACATTTACCATGAAATCTTGGCATTGCCGATCACAGATTTTTGTTTATTCCTAGCAAGATATCCTCTGGTAACTAGAAAACAACACCATGGAAACTCACTATTTTTAAGTTCAGTAAATGATCGAGCAACATGGGCCATCAACGTTGGCCTCCCACGATGCACCGCAGGCTACGGCTGGAGCACAACGGTATCTCCGATGTGGACGGACTGCTGGAGAAAGCTCAGGTGACCCGGGAAACATCGGGGGAAGTTTATGGTGGATCGCTGGGGTTGTCGGATTTCAACATGTTTGCGGACCTGAAGAATCGGTGAAATCCCTAGAAATTTCTTGAATCCGATTGTGAAATTGTGAATCCATAATCATAGTAATTATATATAGTTATTACTACACAACAAATTATATCCCCATTATATATATATACACCACTATTGTTGGTGAAATCCCACAGTTCCACATACTTTCTGAAACTGTTTAATTCCATAATTCCATATACCATATGATTCCCTATAGGACTTATATGCCATTATTATATAATCATTATTAATTTGTTGTAATAGCATGGTAGTGTCATCTCTGCCATAATACTTAACCATCATTGATAGTTATAAATATATTACCATTATAATTGCATATTATCATTACTAAATTTACTAAATGCAATCAAACCGCACCATTTTAAATGATCAATGGTTTCATTGTTATAAAACATGGTAGATAATCATAATTGGTCATATCACATACATATATACAAACACACACACAAAACATTGTAGATAGTCATATAACATACATATGTAGAAAAACACACATATATATATATATATATGTACACATATGAATATATATATATATACCACCAAAAAATGGGCAGATCCTCTCATCTCTAGCATCATCTCCCAGCCTCCGCTCAGCGCCATCCGCTCTGTCAGTCTCTGGGCATCTCGGTGACCCTGGTGGACAAGGCTGACTTGGGACGAGTTCTGAGAGCCCAGGGGAAGAGATACGGGCGATGAATGTTTGTTTCGCCATGGGAAAACGCGCCGGTGATTTTGTTAGCATAGAGATATGGGAGATATATGGGAGATATCATGAGAGATCACTTTTTTCATGATGATTCTTGGTGTTTGATCTCAAATGTGGAGATAGCCATGAAAAAACATGCCACTCGAAATGGGGAAACATGATGTTAACCTATGAGATTTTGAGGCATGTGGCATGTCTTTTCTGCCGGAGGACCAAATCATGACAGTCAGAGGTTTTTTTTTCCCGGAAGATCTACCATCTGGTTTGACATAGCCATGGACAATTTGAGTCATTGATTTCCATACCTCAAAAATAGTGATTTTCCGTAGTCATGTGAAATTGCGAGAGGGTATATCCATGGTATATCCCCATGAATCACAAGTCTTCATGGTTAATCCAATTTTTTCGTGGCGAAATCGCCAAGATTTCGATGGTCAATCCCGAGGTCCGACCAGGAGGAAAGGGGAAAGATTCGAAAGACCCCAACACGGTGCGGAAGCCCTTAGATTGGCGGCTGAATTTGAAAAAAAATGAAAAAAAATGGGGATTGGATTGGGGGACATGGGAGAGAATATGGGAGAGATTACATGAGATCATGAGATCACTAGAGAATATGTCTCCATTCTCAATTCTTATGATCTTTTTTGAGACATACTGGGGTTGTAATGGAGACATGGGAGACTTGATGAGTGTCCTGTTGATGAGTTTCATGCACTTTATACTACCCAACAGACGGGGGTTCATTTTTTGGAGGGAGCCGTTGGGGAAGACGGGTGTGAATAATCCCTAAATAAGGAGCCAAGGGGCTACTCAGAGTTTCCCAAGCACATGATCGTCCACAATTTGATGAGGAGAACGGGATAACTTATGATGAGCCTACCATTGATTATGGGAATGGGGACAGCTGATGGAGGACATGTCATGGGATATATTACCAATGATATACTGGTTGGTGGTTTCAAACATTTTTTATTTTCCATAATATATGGGGATAATCCTTCCCATTGACTTTCATATTTTTCAAGATGGTTATTGCACCACCAACCAGTATTTGTTTTTTCTGTTGGTTTGTCCGGTTTGTCCAAAGATCAGGCAGATTCACAAAAACAACACTTTTCTTGAGGATGATCATGACAATTTTCAGTGGATTTTGGAGGCACCTTGTTTTCAAACAAACGCACATAGCAGCCTCAACAAATAAATGGCTTAATTTGATTTAATTTGGGTAAAGACATGTAAAGACCAAGACATGACCGATACATCTTTTTTAACAACGTAAACTGAATTCGTCTCCCCAAAATGGTACGTTTTCAATGCGATGAGAAAGAAAAACCTGACCAAATACATCAGAAGTGCCGAGAAAGGATGTCAATTGAGGCCATTCACTTGGTGATGTTCCGACCACAGGAGAGGGTGAGATGGTGAGAATGGGATGAGATTATCATGTGAATTCATGGGATCTTCAAAATCATGAAAAATATCCCCAGACTTGCCATACTGGGGATTTCATGGTGATATGATGTGATATGTCAAATCCCCAAAGTATGGTATGGGGCCATGGGATCTTACCTGCTAACTATGGGGCTCCGCACTTGGTCACCGCGGGGATCCTATCGCCCCGCGGTGAACTCACGAGGAGGATCGTGCCGAAACCCACAGCTGATCGAAGGGGATTTTCCAGCAAGCCACGTTTGACCACCAGAGGGTATAAGCAACTTCAGCGTTTTTTTTTGGTGTGCTACCTGAGAATGGGGGATACGGATTTAGCAGCCCAGTGATTTTTCGTGATTTTAGGACATTGGATGAATAGATGGAGGGACTGGGGTACACTATTTTCAGACCCAGATTTACCCAACGCAAAACTTGGTGATTTTACCCATCGCAGGGCGAAATAATGCAAAAGATATATTTGGTTCACAGGGTCGGTAGGTAACACCTGTAAGAAAAGCCAAGAGAAGCAATGCTGAGAGCTTGAGAACCCTCATATTCTGGATCCACTTGGGTGGATATTCTCTCCAATCCTTTTGGCAAGTGAGACATTCCAAAAAATCGGAAGTACATCCGATTCTTTTGGTGATCCTGTTGACGTTTTGCCATAGGAGCGGCGTCGAGGGAAAGGTCACGCTCACCATGAAGAGCATGAGGACTTCGTTCACAGAGAGATCTGGGTGGGTCTTAACAGGGAGGATTACCTCTGGAAAATGGTGATTCTAGTGGGTAAAATGAGGTTTAGATTTTAGACAGTTGGATGGAATGGGATTTCTGACATTTTCAGACACAATTTGTCAAAAGGAACATTACTGCAAGCACAGGTGGTATTACCAATTATCAGACACATTCTCTTATCATCACTTATGGGAACGTAATTGGATGATATATATATATATACACATACATACAGTGTATATATATATACATACCGTATATATATATATTCACAGTATATATATATATTCACAGTATATATATATATATACATATATATATATACCAGTAGTACCGCACAAGGCGGTGGCGGAAGTTTCAAAAATAGGCAACCTATAGGAGAGGTTGGTTGTTGTGAATCAGGGATGGCAGAGCAAAGCCACTCATGGATCGAAAGGTGATTGATCTCTCTCACTATTCTCTCTTTCTCTGACTATCTACCTACCTACCTACCTATCTATCTATCTATCTACCTACCTATCTATCTATCTATCTATCGATCTATCTATCTATCTATCTATCTCTCTCTCTCTCTCTCTCTCCCCTTCATCTGTCTAGCTGTCTATCTGTCTATCTATCTATTTGTCTACCTGTCTATCTGTGGTGCAGTGTCATTGAGTGTAATGTAGTGTAGTGTAATTGTAGTGTGGTGTAGTGGAGTGTAGTGGAATGTAGTGTAAGGTAGTGTAATGTAGTGTAGTGTAGTGTAATTTAGTGTAGTGGGGTGTAGTGGAGTGTAGTTGTGTAGTTGTAGTTGTAGTTGTAGTTGTAGTGGAGTGTAGTGTAATGTAGTGAAGTGCAGTGGAAGGTAGTGTAGTGTAGTGTAATGTAGTGTAGTGTAGTGGAGTGTAGTGTAGTGTAATGTAGTGAAGTGTAGTGTAATTTAGTGTGGTGGAGTGTAGTGTAGTGTAGTGGAGTGTAGTTGTGTAGTTGTAGTTGTAGTTGTAGTGTAGTGGAGTGTATTGTAGTGTAATGTAGTGTAGTGGAGTGTAGTGTAATGTAGTGTAGTGTAGTGTAATTTAGTGTAGTGGAGTGTAATGGAGTGTAGTGGAGTGTAGTTGTGTAGTTGTAGTGTAGTGGAGTGTAGTGTAGTGGAGTGTAGTGAAGTGTAGTGGAAGGTAGTGTAGTGTAGTGGAGTGTAGTGTAGTGTAATGTAGTGTAGTGTAGTGTAATTTAGTGTAGTGGAGTGTAGTGGAGTGTAGTGGAGTGTAGTGGAGTGTAGTTGTGTAGTTGTAGTTGTAGTGGAGTGTAGTGTAATGTAGTATAGTGTAGTGGAGTGTAGTGTAGTGTAATGTAGTGTAATGTAGTGTAATCTAGTGAAGCAAAGCGAAGCGACATCTTAACCTCCGAAAGTGGTCCGAACCCCTAGTGTTTTTCACATGTTGACTTCAAAATGTGCTTCGCGTCACAACGGCGTGCACTTTTTCGACATCTGAACCTCCAAAAGTGGCGCGACCATGTGGTGTTTTGTACATTTTGACTTCGAAATGTGCTTCGACATCCGAACCTCCAAAAGTGGCGCGAACATGTGGTGTTTTGTACATTTTGACCTGGAAATGTGCTTCGCGCCACAACGGCGTGCAATTTTTCATCTCTCATCTGGCCAGCTGGCTCCGCACCCGCCGCTTTAGCGAGCCTACTTTTCGACCCTCCGGAGTGAAAAACACAGTGAATCGCGACTTTCCTACCTTTTCGCGCATCTGTATCTTCTTTCTTCTGACTCTTTCTCTTCTACTCTTCTCTCTTCTAATCTTTCTCTTCTCTCTGCCTCTGCCCTGCTCTGGTTTTCATCTGTCCATATTGTCGGAAGTTTGACTTCTAAACTTCCTTCGATCATTTTGTTGAGAATTATCATTTTATAAGGTCACTTCTTATATGGTGCCACCAGGGTGGCGCCCAATGGCAATCTTTCCCATGGCTTTCCATGATGACCTCAGAACCAGATGAAGGGAATTGGTTGAAGGGAACATCTACAGGAGACGATGGTATCCATGGTTTTCCACATGAAACTTGACGGGGTTTCCTGTGATTTTCCGACCCAATGATGATACAGATGGGAGAGGTGTACAAGCAGTATGTCTTAAGAATATACCCTCCGGTAGTCCAAGATGGCAGAGAATTTCCCCCATTTCGATGATGTCCCCGGCAAACTAGTTACATCCATGGCTAGTAAAGGGATTATCACCTTCAGAGTACATGATCAAAACCATTCTCAAGGTTGCCATCGGTCTCAGCTGGAGATAAATTCATCTTCTGGGAGAAATAACTCAGACTCACCGGATTGGTGATTTGGCATACCCTCTGGTTATGACTAACATAGCCATGGAAAATGGCCCATAGAAATAGATGGTTTACCTATTAAAAATGGTGGATCTTTCCAGTTCTATGTTAGTCATAACCAGATGGTATTTACTAACACGACATTTTCCAATCACTCCAGAATCACTGGATTCGTCATTGCTGGATTCAACAGGAAGAACAACTGGTTAGCGGTTTCGAACATGACTTTTATCACTTTCCATATATATTGGGAATTTCACAATCCCAACTGACTTTCACGCCATCAATTTTCAGAGGGGTTTTGGTATACCACCAACAAAATGTATGGCTTGAGCCGGTCCAAATCGATTATTTTTTGGGTCAACCATCCAGACACAAATCGTGGGTTTTCCTGTCTGAAAGCGAGCAAGGACAGCACAGATGGCTATTCACGACCAACCAGTCCCCCCGATTATTTCAAGGTGTGCGGCCAGCGCGAGGTTATGAAACACTAAACTCAATGCCACAGACAGAATCATCCTCTGGTAGTTTAACATCTTTGAGTGGCCCATGATAGTGCAGCTATTTCCATGGCCATTTTCCACAGCAGAGGGTACCTTTTTTGGGGGGGGGGCTGTGGTTTTGTATGTTGCCCACTAAGTGGTTCATGATTCGGCTTGGCTCTGGAGCTTGGTCGGCCACTGAATCAATCCCCATTCGTCCTTATTCAACCACCATATATTAGGATATATCCCCTCCATATATCCTAATATCATGGGGTGATATTGGTGATAGCATGATATATATTATATAATATATCCCCTAAAATTGGTAATAGTATGACATATAATATCATATAATGACATATATCCCCTTCATTGGTCCCCACAATTTTCAAATATCTCTGGGTGCCAGGGGCAAGAAGAGGAGGACGATGCCTACAAGGTGCGACGAAACCCGCCTGGTGGCACGGTGGCACTGGAAGTCGCCTTTGGGTTTCGTCTGCCAGGAGAAGAAAGGCGGCAAGGGCAAAGATGCGAAGTTCGGAAAGCTGCGATCTGAGTTCTCTCACTTTCAAGAAAGACCTACCCTTTGGTAAACTAACATAGCCATGGAAAATGACAATTTTTAATGGGTAAATCCACTATAAATGGTGGCCATTTTCAATAGCTGGTTTGGACCATTGGAACATGAATTTTATTTTCCCATTCAATGGTTGATTGATTTTCTCATTCATAGCTTTCAGGTTCCATTTTCAATCAACCATCCAGCTATGGGGATATCTCCATTTATGGAAACCTCCAAATGGGGCTAATCCAGTCCCAAAAAACCCAAGTAGATATGATGATATGAGAACTGGTTGGTGGTTTGGAGCATGACTTTTATTTTCCATACATTGGGAATTTCATTATCCCAACTGACGAACTCATATTTTTCAGGGGGGTAGGTCAACCACCAACCAGATAGAGTTTTTGGTTGTGCCAGATGTGCCAGATGGCGATTTCTAAAGCCCGGATTCGCCAAAAAACTGGCAATTGGTTGTGGTTACCCCCAAAATCGTGATAAATTCGTCCGAGATTTGATATCCCCCTATGGATCAACAGTAGGTTCAAAGCAAAATCCTGGCTTGACAGTGCCAACTCTATATCCGTATTAAATCCCCATTGTTTTTTATATCCCGTTTATCAACTCCAGTGTGACATTCGGGTTGTCTCAAAACAGGGTCTTCCAATTTATCCAATAGTGCTTATCTAATAGCTTCCAAGATCATATAGCTGGTATTGGATAGCTGGTTTATCTTCCAACTATTAGATAAGCACTATTAGATAGTGTGAATCTAATGGTTTATCATATAGCTTCCAAGATCTAATGGTTTATGATCAACCAAATGGAACAACTCATAAACCATGAGTGTATTTCATCATGAAATGCATATCTCCTTATCATGAATGTTTACTTCAATTACTTCTTACTGTTAACATAAACCATGATAAACACCATAAATCTCATGGGTTTAACGAAACCTTCTTCCAAGGACCGCACCAACCGCCAAGCCGCTGACGGCCAGTGACCTTCAAATGGGGTGCCTCGGTGACCCAAACAGATTGCAGCTTTTTGCTGGGAAGATCAGGCGTGAAGGTATTTTCATAGGATTTTCATAATTTTCAATTGCATTTCTGGAACATCTTTGGATTTCGTGGGTTTTCCATAGGTTTTCATAGCTACAGTAGTAGTTATTAATGCTGATCTCCCCACTTTTTGGGTAAACATCAAGGGTTTTCGTAGCTAGCAATCAAGAAAGTTGTGCTTCATTGGTATCCCGCTGACCCTGCACGCCATTTTTGGGAGATGTTTTTGCTGGGGACCCTTGAAACATCCAAAGGGTCGGACTTTCATATTTTTCAGAGGGGTAGGTATACCACCAACCAACCATTTTGATGCATACTTTTGAAGACAAAGTCACCATCAATTGTTTGGGTACCGCAGTGCCGTTTTCGCCGTTTGACGACCCATTCGCCAGGGCGGCCTCCTACAGAACGCAGATGTCCAAACATCCAGGATGTTGGACATTGATCGTTGGTGGTTTCATAATGTTTCACATATTTATTAAATGAGCCATATATATATATATGTATATGTATATATATATATTTAGAGCTAACGCTCATCGTCGGCTCCGCCGGACTACTTGACCCTCGATGTCATCGCAGGGTGGGCTTGAAAGCTATTGAATGAGGATCTGCTGCTTCGGAAAAGATTCCTTGCAGCAAGTGGGGAAGGCTTATTCCCGAAGGCTCCTGCGAAGGGTTTTTCCTAAAGAATTGGTGCCAATTTCAACTTTCCACTTCGTATAAAAGCGCCTCTGTGTAAAGACTTCTCTGTGTAAAAACTTCTTCTGTGTGTAAAGCTTGCAGCAAGTGGGGAAGGCTTATTCCCGAAGGCTCCTGCGAAGGGTTTTTCCTAAAGAATTGGTGCCAATTTCAACTTTCCACTTCGTATAAAAGCGCCTCTGTGTAAAGACTTCTCTGTGTAAAAACTTCTGTGTGTAAACGCGCCTGTGTGTTAAAGCTCTCTGTGTAAAGACTTCTCTGTGTAAAAACTTCTGTGTGTAAACGCGCCTGTGTGTTAAAGCTCTCTGTGTAAAGACTTCTCTGTGTAAAAACTTCTGTGTGTAAACGCGCCTGTGTGTTAAATCTCTCCGTGTAAAGGCTTCTCTGTGTAAAAACTTCTGTGTGTAAACGCACCTGTGTGCTAAAGCTCTCTGTGTAAAGGCTTCTCTGTGTAAAAACTTCTGTGTGTGAAAGCTTCCGTGTGTAAAAGCTCTCTTTGTATCCCCCATGTATAGCTCACTATAAAGTGGACATCCTTTGCGCTTATAAAGTGGGTTTCCGGTCGCCACTTTATATACCGACAATGGGGGATAAAGCCGTGTTTTGCGCGAGTAACATGCTCTTGGACCTGGAAGATGACTTTATAGCAACGTTGGCTTTCCAGTTTATACCCGGCTGGTTCCCCACAAGGAAACGACTCAATATATGCGGCAATGCATTTTATAGACCGTTGGTTCCCTTCAAAGAATGGCCATAATATGTCACACCATCCACTTTATAGAAACATGTCTCCCCAATGATTTCGGGCCAATATCTTTCTGTTGGGGCTGTATACATGGCAAAGCACTTTATAGAGTGAAACTTGCCCTTTAAGAAGAAAATTTGTGCTGCATCCAGGGCACTTTATAGAAAGAAAATTGCGGCAGAGCATTTTATAGAGTCATGAGATACATCACCCAAATCACTTTATAGAGCTGCCCAGGACCCCATTCACCCTGAGGACCCCTTTCAAGGGAAATCTTCTTCTCTATAAAGTGGCCCGTCCAGGTAAAACCCCTGAAAAAACAGAATCTATGTTGGACTGGCCACTTTATACCCCCTCCCCAAACAGAGAATGCCTCTATAAAGTGGCCAGTCCAGGTAAAACCCCTGAAAAAACAGAATCTATGTTGGACTGGCCACTTTATACCCCCTCCCCAAACAGAGAATGCCTCTATAAAGTGGCCAGTCCAGGTAAAACCCCTGAAAAAACAGAATCTATGTTGGACTGGCCACTTTATACCCCCTCCCCCAACAGAGAATGCCTCTATAAAGTGGCCAGTCCAGGTAAAACCCCTGAAAAAAAAGAATCTATGTTGGACTGGCCACTTTATACCCCCTCCCCCAACAGAGAATGCCTCTATAAAGTGGCCAGTCCAGATAAAACACCTGAAAAAACAGAATCTATGTTGGACTGGCCACTTTATACCCCCTCCCAAAACAGAGAATGCCTCTATAAAGTGGCCAGTCCAGGTAAAACCCCTGAAAAAAAAGAATCTATGTTGGACTGGCCACTTTATACCCCCTCCCCCAACAGAGAATGCCTCTATAAAGTGGCCAGTCCAGGTAAAACCCCTGAAAAAAAAGAATCTATGTTGGTACCTGGGCCTAGCTTTATTAATAGCCCGCCCCACTGTCCCCCACAGAGAATAGCCTCTATAAACTGCCCAGTCGCAGTAAAACCCCCTGACAACCAGAATCTATTTGGACTGGCCACTTTATACCCCCTCCCCCAACAGAGAATGCCTCTATACAGGTGCCTCAGAATCTCAGGTAAAACACCTGAAAAAAAATAGAATCTATGTTGGACTGGCCACTTTATACCCCCTCCCCCAACAGAGAATGCCTCTATAAAGTTGCCAGTCCAAGTAAAACCCTGAAAAAACAGAATCTATGTTGGACTGGCCACTTTATACCCCCTCCCCCAACAGAGAATGCCTCTATAAAGTGCCCAGTCCAGGTAAAACCCCTGAAAAGACACATTTTTACCTGGAATGGCCACTTTATACCCCAGCCAGTGTGCTCCAGGACTTTGACCCGGAAACGGAAGGACTGACAACAAGGTAAAGGGGGAAAACTACAACTTAGATGTACAGACGTGAAGGCTACCACACAGAGAAAATGAGACATGTCAGTCGTTATATACGTTTATTGTTTTTGCAATGTGTCATATAATGATGGCGATGATTGTTATTTGAATATGTTGTATATGTAATTTTGGAACATTATGTATACGATGATTCACACATTCAATATAAATATATATAAATCATAAACACATGCCAAGCCAAAAACTTTTAGCTGAGTATTGTATTCCCAATCTGTTGGCAAATGTCCAGCCGATTCACCATGCGTGACCCAACAAGATTCAAACTATGGATTGTTTACTTTTGAAAAAAATACTGGGTGAATCTACGTATATCTATGACGACAATCTCCCAAAATCATCCTAAAAATCTATGGACATCTATGGACCAAAACCACGGCCACATGCCCATCCTCTATAAAATGGTTTGCAAGAAAGTTCAGCTCTATAAAGTGGTTTGATCACGTCATTTCTGGCAGCCCCACCCTCTGTATAAACTGGCCGGTCCATGCCCATCCTCTATAAAATTGTTTGCAAGAACCAGTAATTTTTTTTTCGAAATTAAACAATCCATAGTTTGAATCTTGTTGGGTCACGCATGGTGAATCGGCTGGACATTTGCCAACAGATTGGGAATACAATACTCAGCTAAAAGTTTTTGGTTTGGCATGTGTTTATGATTTATATATATTTAAATTGATGTGTGAATCATAGGTATACATATGTTCCAAAATACATCTACAACATATTCAATATACCAATCATCGCCAATCTATATGACACATTGAAAACAATAAACGTATATAAACGTGACATGTCTCATTTTCTTGTGGTAGCCTTCCCGTTGTACCTCTCCGTTGTAGTTTTCCCCCTTTACCTTGTTGTCAGTCCTTCCGTTTCCGGGTCAAAGTCCTGGAGCCCACTGGCTGGGGTATAAAGTGGCCATTCCAGGTAAAAATGTGTCTTTTCAGGGGTTTTACCTGGACTGGGCACTTTATAGAGGCATTCTCTGTTGGGGGAGGGGGTATAAAGTGGCCAGTCCAACATAGATTCTGTTTTTTCAGGGGTTTTATTTGGACTGGCCACTTTATAGAGGCATTCTCTGTTGGGGGAGGGGGTATAAAGTGGCCATTCCAGGTAAAAATGTGTTTTTTCAGGGGTTTTACCTGGACTGGCCACTTTATAGAGGCATTCTCTGTTGGGGGAAGGGGTATAAAGTGGCCATTCCAACATAGATTCTCTTTTTTCAGGGGTTTTACCTGGACTGGCCACTTTATAGAGGCATTCTCTGTTGGGGGAGGGGGTATAAAGTGGCCAGTCCAACATAGATTCTGTTTTTTCAGGGGTTTTACCTGGACTGGCCACTTTATAGAGAAGAAGATTTCCCTTGAAAGGGGTCCTCAGGGTGAATGGAGTCCTGGGCGCGCCGCGCGCGCCAAAAAGGTCTCAAAATTGGAGCCATTTTGGCGCGCGCGGCGCGACCAGGACCCCTTTCACCCCAAGGACCTCTTTCAAAGGAAAGTGTGTTAGAGGCATTCTCTGTTGGGGGAGGGGGTATAAAGTGGCCAGTCCAACATAGATTTTGTTTTACCATAGATTCTGTTAACGACTTCGATATAGATATTTGTCTGGCTGTCGGTTTCGTTCGGTTTCGAAGTCATTCGAAGTCTTTTGGGTTCCCCATCGATGAGATCGATGATATTCCCCCAAGGTTTGAACGTGGCCCCTCAACTTTATAGACAATCATGTCGATGCTGCCATCGTCGCGATTAAGAAAATCATCGCTACTACAACGATCGTTGTTTAGCCGGAAATCCACATTATAGTGCCACTGTTCTGCACAAGTATTACTATCTGGATGTTCGGCATCTCACTTTATAGTCATGGGACATGTTCACAAGTACCCTCAAAAACCTGCATCGAGTTTTATGTTTTTACGCGGCCAGGCGAGTTTATACAAACGTTGGATTTTGACTTTATAGACAAAACATGTTGGCTTTCCACTTTATAGACTCCAGACATGTGGCCATTCCAGTTTATACCAGGCTATTCTCTATAAAGTCGGCCGCAAAGCATCTAGCGGGCTATACATGGGGGATCTCTTTGTAAAGACTTCTGTGTAAAAAAGTTTCTGTCTGTAAACGCGCCTGTGTGTTAAAGCTGTCTCTGTGTAAAGACTTCTTTGTGTAACAGCGTCTGTGTGTAGCAGCTTCTGTGTGTAAACGCCCTTGTGTGTCAAAGCTCCTGTGTAAAGGCTTCTCTGTGTAAACGCTTCTGTGTGAAAACGCGTCTGTGTGTAAAAGCTCTCTGTGTAATCACTTCTCCGTGTAAAGGCTTCTGTGTGTGTGTAAGCTCCTCTGTGTAAACGTGTTTGTGTGCAAAATCTCCTTAGTGTAAAGACTTCTCTGTGTAAAAGCCTCTCTGTGTAAAACTTCTGTGTCTAAGAGCCGCTTTGTGTAAAGACTTCTCTGTGTAAAAGACCCTGTGTGTGTAAAAGCTTCTCTGTGTAAAAGCTTCTGTGTGTAAACACGTCTGTGTAAAAGCTATTCACCAGCAGCATTTATCATCATATTTTCTTCTTTGCTATCTTCTCGTCCAGCTTTCTTTCGGGCCACGCTGTCGTCTAGTTTCAATCTGCAACGTTGTTTCTTGTTGAAGAATGCCAAGAACATGTGAAAGCATCGCTCGTTTAGAAATTGAACATAAACAGCGCACAAAGTGCTGTAATTTAACATTTTGCGCTGTCAGATGGCAAGAACCCGCGTAAATACCACAGTTTTAGTCTCCGAGATTGGATAAAACAATGTTATTTACAGGATTTCGTTCACGTCACGATCTTCGTTTTTTTGAAAACGCGCTTGGCTGCCAGGCGACAGAGTGCCAGATTGTCGTCACATTTGGTCCACCGCCGAACTATCGCTTGGCTGCTTTTTCTGGAGGGGGGCTGCAAGGTCTCCAAGACCTACTCAAGTTTCTTCAGCTTCCAGGCAAGATGGGCCAAACGGGTGGATCATTGCCAGTGACATTATGGGGTCGGAATCTTCTGAACCAGGGCATGCAGAGTCATTGGCCGACCCGGGATGCTCATTTTGAAAGTGGTGGCCATCCATCTTTGACCATTGCTGATTTGCCAGCACCGACGCCGAGCAAGCAACGTTTGCAAGTGAAGATCGTCATGATGAGCCCGGAGCGCATGGAGGTCCGCTTGCTGGGAAACACATGGCCGCTTCGCCAGTGTCTTGCGGGTTTCGATGGCGAGACCGGTGAAGATGGTGCATTTGTGCGAAAAGCGTCTATGCTGACTGGTGGAGAGGCTATGAACGAAGAGTTGACGACACTGGCCTCAGCGGTGCAAGGTGCATTCTATGTGCTTGAGATTGACTCTGAGGTGCCACCTGAAGTACGCAGTAGGGTAGGTCAGCTGTTGTAGTGCTGTATAGATGTTGAGTTGGAACGGACGCGCCTTCTTCTGTGTTGGATCAGCCTGCACCTGGGGACGGCGACTGCCTGGCATGGTACCAGGGCACTGGTGGCATTGTTTGAAGGGCCCTCGTGTACAGGAGAGGCCCATAATGTGTACAGTTTTGGCATGGGCATCCCTGCCTGGGCAAGAGACAAGACATTGCTTGTGGTCAATCACATCATATTCAATCAAGGGGCATCAATGCAGCATTCTAGAGACCATTTTGCTCATTAAACTGGCTCTTGTGGGAAGCGTATCGTGTGTCGACTTTCAGGTGCATTCACATAGATTCAGATTCTTGGAGCCTTGGTCTGGAAAGGCCTGGGGCCTTCCATCCCCGCGGGGAATAGTCGCAAATTGGAACTTGTATGCGGCAAGATGCAGAGTCCCTCACACATGGAACCGTTGAAAGGTACTGCATGAGGACCATACTTTCAGGTTAAACCATCTGCCCGGGCACTGGCAGGTGGAGATGTCACAGGACGGAAACAGGAAATGTGCGAGACATTTGCAGCATGGCAGTACTGTATGTATGCTTTGCGACGCTACGAAATAGCAAACCACCACGTAATTTCGTGCCCAAAGCTGTATGCTTTTGTGACGCGTCCGAAACAGCAAAACAAAATTTTAATTTCGTGCCCAAAAGCTAGCAAACGGTATGCTTTTGCGACGCGTCCGAAACAGCAAAACACCACCTCATTGCCGAAAAATGAACCAAAAAACAACCAAAAATGCCTAACTTCCTTTCTGAAATCCAACTAAAACAATTTTTTTTCACTTTTTCCAGCCGCTTGCACCCTCTTGCAGCCTTGCAGCCAGCCAGCCGGCCAGCCAGCCCCAAAGCACAGGCTGTCTGTATGCTTTTGTGACGCTACGAAACAGCAAACCACCACGTAATTTCGTTCCCAAAAGGTGGCAAAAGCAGCGACCACGCCTCACAGAACTGCTGTTGTTGCTGCTGCTGCTGCTACTGCTGCTGTTGTTGTTGTTGTTGTTGTTGCACAAACGGAAACCACCAATCCTTGACCCGCTCTCCCTTGCATCAGCCGGGGTCGGCGGAGAGAGAGAGAGAGAGAGAGATATATATATATATGAATATGGATGGAGTTATATTTGTTTTTGCTCCAAACACCCTCTGGCAACCTGTTACAGTTTGCCATGGAAAATCACAATCAGAACAATGTGAAACAACTATTTCTATGGGCCATTTCCAATAGCAAATTGCCAAATTACCATAGGGTAGATGATGGGTACAATGGACATGTAATGAAAATACAGTAATAGTAACAATAATGAAGTATCATTTCAATATGATATGTCACATGTATTATATACATAACCAACAATTTTGATGGGGATTTAATGGGGAGAACAATGTTATATATATATATATATCACCAACTCAATGTGATTCTTGGGTGTCTTTGAAAACCGGGTATACCAACAAGTTCTGGCAGTTTCACTAGATTTGGGGTACCCAAACCATATTAAATTTTTGTTTTTGATTTTGTAATTTCTTGTTCTTCTTATTCAGATGAATGTTTCCTTGATGATATTGCGATCATTGGTTCATTGGGTTTGTTACCCTTCGGTTTATTTTAGTTATGGAAATTTGCCCATTTATGGATGATGGGTGACGATTTACGTATCAAACATGGTGATTTTCCAGTTTGCTACGTAACAGATTCCCAGAGGGTACGATTTTGTATTTCGTTTCGCACCCTGACTTTGGTAGTCTCTATCATCTGGGATCTGAATTAAAACGACCCTGGTCAGCAATTATGACTAGATGCTTCAGTGATAAAAGTGCTTTGCCGGCTTGAACAACAACTTATTCCTTGCTTCTTTTTCATGTCATAGATTGCAACATTTCTAATACCGCATCCATTTTTTTCGGTGTCTAAATATGGGCCATAACCCGATTTTATAGGACATGTATGGAACTGTGATGATTGACCGGGGGATTTGGGGACTAACTTTCCCATTGACACCGTCCCCAGATTCGCCAGCATTTCAAGGCTTTCTGGGGTACACCTGGCAGCCAGGAGCACCAAATCAGCTGGCCCAAGCGAAAGCTGAAACCTAAGTGGTGGATGGTCCAAAGCAGAATGCGAACCACGCCATGACTCAGAACAGCGAAATGCGTTGAATGTGTATATATATATATATCGGTGACTATCACAAATGAATATCACACATGAACATCACATATGATTATTAGATATTATTAGCAACCATGAACTTGGATCATCAAAAAAAAAATTGAGAGTTTTTTTTTAACGTAGATGGTCAACCACTCAGCCATGATATTGTCCAAGGCCAAACAAGGCAAGATAGACATTGGCTCAGCTGCTGCCTTTCCCTCTTTGGGTGGACCAGTACCTTGGCCATGAAAAAAAATGGATTTACATGGGATTTCTATGGGTAACTGTTGGTTCCTATTTTTTTTGGTCCGGCTGTACAGTCAGTTCTTGGTACGGTATGGACTCCTCCAGCCTGGTCGTCTCAGGAGAAGCCGGAGGCAACGCCAAATTGGGGTCCTAATCTCCAAGCAGCTGTGGCATGGTCGGAGCCCCAGCGGCTTCGGCAGGACCTGAAAGGAGTCCCGAGCGGGACTTGCATGGACTTGGGGTATCTTGGGATTTTTTGATGTTTTTTTTGGGATCCAAATCATCTTAGAACTCCAGAGATGTTCTTGGATACGTTTGAAAGGTCTGAAAAGGGATGGGTATGAAGAAACACAGAATGTTCAGCTTCTTCTTTTGGTTCAAGTGCTGTTTCTTTTACACAACTTCACCATTTTTTATTCCAAAAGTCTGAAGTCAAGTTGTGAGCTGTTTCAATCCGTGGCCACTGCAGGGGTTCGGCGCCAACAGCCGTTTTTGCAGCTCCAAAGCCGCAGCCCAAACCCATCTCCCCTGTGTTGGGTGTGGCCCTCAGCTCTTAAGGCCTTGGCTAGGTTGGCGCCAGTGATGTTTTTTGGTTTACAAACCCCATGAATAAGCGGCTATAGTTGTTGGAATTATAAACCAACTTGGCTAAGTATCATAAATCATAAAGCATACGAAATTGGAGTTATAAATCATAGTTAAATTGGAGTTATAAACCGTAGTGAAATGGGAGTTATAAACCATAGTTAACTATAGATATATCTGCCATAGACTCTTGGGTCTGTCTGAAAATGGGGGCGAAACTGGGTTGTTTTTTACCGGGTATACCCCAAATTGCAATTTACCCTCTGGTAATTTAACATAGCTATGGAAAATCACCATTTTTAATGGGAAAATCCACTATTAATGGCAATTTTCAATAGCTATGTTAAATTACCAGAGGGTAAGTGGGAAAATCATGATGCCACATTGAAAAACGTGCGGTAGTCTATTTTCAGACAAAGCCATCTGATCTAAGAACTTCTAAATTTCGAAGCCAAGGTAGTTCATTTCCATCCGTGGTATTTTCATGAGGAAACTGGCTTCAACTTGGTGTAAGTTGGTGGCCAACATCGATCTTTTTGCGGGTGGAGATTTCAGGTCCAACTCCCAAAGAAGTTCCTGTGCAGGAGCAACGCATGGGTTTCGCACAACAAAAACCTGAAGTTTGGGATGAGATCGACCATTTTTTTCACAACTGCAACAGCTGCAGTCAGAAGAGCAGCTTTCGATGGACCATTTCTGAGTGGATCTGAGAAAAACTGGTTGGTGGTTTGGAACCATGGAATTTTATGACTTTCCATCATATTGGGAATTTCATCATCCCAACTGACGAACTCATATTTTTCAGAGGGGTAGGTCAACCACCAACCAGTAGCTATTGAACCAATAAACATTTATAGTTGTAGCTATCAGGACCTATCAGGGATGGTGATTTTCCATGGCTATGTAACAGATGACCCGAGGATACCCATTTAAACTTTGCCCTTTGGCGCGAGGAGATAAAGGGAAAGGAGAAACCAGGCGGGAAGCGTCGCTTGGAGATTTGGACATTTCGATTTGGACCTACGAGTTTCCACATATTCTACATGTAGAAGAATGATATAGACATATAGACTTATAGTCAGAATCAGACAGATATGTTATTCAACAGATCTCTCTCTCTCTCTCTCTGCGCATTCCGCATGTACACATAGAAATAGAGAATATCACAATCGTTCGATGTCTTTAGACGTGGGAATTTCTATTCAGTCATAGGGGTACCCCAGAATCCATCCAGTCGTCATGGATGACCATGACTTCGTATTGAAATTCCACAATTTTGCAGGGTGAACTCCTCTAATTTTTCTGGCCTCACCATGAAAATCCACGTTCTCTAAGCATCATCAAACCACCATAAAACCCAGCATAAAATTGCCAACTTTGGCCGAGATCAACTGGATTGGTTTTGTTGGGAAAATTTTAACCGGAAACCCATGGGTTTTGACCATCAAATTGATCGGGCTTTCCGGTTAAAATTTTCCCATCATCCAATTCTATGATCAGATCAACTGGTGGACTGTCCCCATCTGCCCATCGATTCACGCCCCGTTTGAGGCAGCGCCAGCGCCGGCGCCAGCAAGTTGCCTGCGCCCGTGGGGGCAGCTGGCGCAGTGACTTGGTGATGGGAGTGGAAAAGGATGGCGTGGAATGGTGATTTAATGGGATAAGATATTACATAAATGGTGATTTAATGGTATTTAATGGTGATTTAATGGGATTTAATGGGATTTAATGCAGATGATCATCACCAAATTCATCTGATAATTACTTATCATCTGCTATTTTTTTTGGATGGAAAGATATGAGAATGGTGATTTAATGGGGTAAACATATGATATCATATGATAATATCATCACCAGTGTCATCTGATATTTTTTTGATGGAAAGATACACTTATCATCTGATATTTTTTTGATGGAAAGATATGAGTGATGATATGTGATGATAAAATATCAGGGGGATGAAGCATGAAAACTTGTGATTCATGGGAACATACATGGATATACCCTCTGGATCCCTCTGGTAAACTAACATAGCGATGGACCATCATCATTTCTAAGTTCGGTGAATCAGCTACAATCGGGCCATTTTCGATTCAGACCGATGAATTTACCACATACCCTCTGGTAAACTAACATAACTATGGAAAATCACCATTTTTAATGGGTAAACCCACTAGAAATCACCATTTTCAATAGCTTTTTGTATGTTTACCAGAGGGTAACTGGGAGAAGAAACATCCATTCACCAGCTCTTCTGATGGGATCGGGATTCGATGGGATGGCCTCAGGCACCCACGGAAGCCCCGCAACGTCCACCGCCCATTGGAGCAGATGTGCGGACCTTGGAAGATGGTTTCGAAAACACCATGGTCATCCATGACGACTGGATGATTTGGGGTACCCCTATGACTTAGGAAACCTCCGTATAATGGTATACACAGTATATATATATATATAACCCAGCCCAGCCAGATGTTTTTTTTATGTTTTCTTGTCAATCATCCAACATATTTTGGTACAATCCATTCAGCAACAAACATTCTACTTGGTATTGGCATTGTCGCGTTTCCTGCTGCGTTGTTTGGTCACCTGGGTACATGGCCGTAGCTAGCGTTTGACGTTAGGTCTAAGGGCAAAGTTTCAGGGTACAAGCAATTTCTATGGTACAAATATATTCTATAACATTTAGAATGGTACAAATATATTCTATATCTATATCTATACATATAAATATCTATGACTTTATACGGTACATCTAGGTACTTGAAACTGGCAATGGCATATTCTGCTCATTTTTTGCAGATCATCCCAGCAGGTTCGAAGCCTTAAAGGTTTCAGCGGTCCACCACAACAAGCCGTCAACGACTCGGAGTTTGGCTCGAAAAGCCATGGTTTTTTCTCCATTTCTGGAACCATTCCAAGCTAGAAAAAGGTTGTTTTAATGGGAACAAAAAGGTGAAGAAAATCGGGGATTGAAGCAACAATGCTGGTATCAGGGGATAAGTCAGCATGTTTGTTGACAACCCTCCCTGGTAGTCGAGCATGGCTAGCTGGAAAATCCACTGAATGGGAAGATCAGTGAACGAAGCGTGGGATTTTCGATCTTCCAGCCATGTCTGATGAAGAAAAATGGGTGGTTTTGCTCACCCACTTTGACCTTATGACAATTTTGATAGGGGAGATTCCAAAAACCCAACACTCTATGGATTCCACAATTTTAACTCTGAGTCAACTCAGACTCTGACCAATCAACATGGGGTCCGGAAATTAGCTCCATGGTTGGAAAATCCCCTGAGTTCCGTGATTTTTCCACGTCAATGCAGTTCGAGGAGTTCCCTCAGCCATCAACTGGTTGGTGGTTTGGAACATGAATTTTATGACTTGCCATTCAGTTGGGAATTTCATCATCCCAACTGACGAACTCCATCATTTTTCGGAGGGGTAGGTCAACCACCAACCAGATAATTAATCATCATTTACCATCATTAACCATCATTAATCATCATTAACCACCATTATTATCCCATTGTTATCCATATTAAACCATATAAAACCATATTAAAGCCAAGGTTCCATGAACATCCAGCACCCTGGGGCCCTGAGGCTCGCGAGATCCTGGGCGCCATCGGGGCACCCTTTCGGCCCTCCAGCCCGGTGGCGCCGCTTACTCCGCCCAGTGCTGGTCCGGAGGAAGGCGACACCGGGGAAACCTATGGCGATTCATTGGGAAAGCGATGGGATTTTTATATTTGAACCATGGGAACATGGGATATTTGATGATATTTGTGGGAAATACCCTCTGGTAAACATACAAAAAACTATGGAAAGATCCACCATTTTTCATGGGAAAACTCACTATAAATGGCAATTTTCAATAGCTATGTTAAATTACCAGAGGGTAGATGGGATGGGATGGGGATTTTTGATATAAATGGATGAACTTATGGTGACATTTTCCTTTGGGTGCGATCATGGCCGCGAGGAAAAGGCCATGATCGAACCCCAGCGGGGGATTTTTGTTTGGCCGTGGAGTTACTCAGTTTTTATAAATGGATTGTAATTGGGGCTTGTTGGGTTACCCTCTGGTAAACTAACGTATCTATGGAAAGATCCACCATTTTTAATGGGTAAATCCACTATTTCTATGGACATTTTCAATAGCTATGTTAGTTTACCAGAGGGTAAAACATATTTAAAAACAGTGAATTTACGAACTACGAACTACTATGTTCATGGCCCATGTAAGTAGATTTGATGGGGAAAACTATGGGGTGACGGTCAAAAACATTCAACTCGATTTACAGGGAATGAACATCCAACTAGTTGCCCTATTGGGGTGAACAAAAGGACGCCAGGGTTCAGAACCATAGCCATTTTGTGGTTTCCTGTATTTTTTTCTCCCTAACCAATCAATTGATCTAAGACTTCTGAGTTTGTAGGACAACTGTGCAGGAAAAAAAACATATCCAGTGGTCTAGAAGCCTTTTCTCCTCAGCAATTTCTGGAGAGGGCCACTTTTCAGAGCAAATCTAATTGGACAAGAATTCCTGGATATGTCTTCAGAATGACTGCAGTTGGTTCATATCTTTTTGCAGGCGACAACTGCGGATCTGGGGGATCCACCTTTGGATCTGGGATGATTTCGCCCCAAAAATATCAGGGGTTCAATCAGGTTAATCATCAAAAATGGTGATTTTTCATGGGATATGTCATGGACCATGGAGATATGTCATGGTTTCTAAAGATTTACAACTAACCAGCAAAAATAATCCGGTCCTCCAGAAAGCAGGGAAGGGCATAAAACCACATGACTGGGACCATAAAAAAATCCGGGTCCAGTTTCGATTTTTCCGGGCGTGGCGCAGGTGGAATGCCGGAGGTCAGAAGCTGGCAGGCAAGGAGCTGTTTTGCAAAATGACTTCACACACAGAACAGGTCGAAAACATGAGATTTGATGAGTTGATCTGGAACTTCATCATTTGACCCCAAGTGTTACACTGTTATTACAGGTATTTTTTTTGGTGAACATTGGAGGTGATATAGGTGAAGCGCATGGAGATCTTAAAGTAAACACCAACCGTGGGAAGCGAAGGCTCCCACAGCCCCTCCAAGCAGTCCGCCTAACGAGGTGCGGGGGATGGGTTATACTTATAGGTTTACCACATGATGGGTTATGCAATATAATCCTTTCTCTCATTGTTGAATACCCCCCAATGTAGACACACCAAAATGAATAGATCATGAATAGATTGAGGGCTAAACCAGGCTTTCGTTTGGAGGTCCATGATTGATTTTCCATGGCAGGCCGCCAAGCCTAAGCCCATGGCAGTCCCGCTGCCATCCCTACCCCCCTCAGTGGCTCCAATGGTTGAGCCGGAGCGCCCCAAGCTGAGCCCCCCCACCGAACCGCCCCAGGCCGCGCCGGCCGCGCCGGCCACCCCGGCCGCCCCGGCCGAGAATGTGCTGAGACGCCTGCCCAATGCACCCAGCAAACCCGCGCCCCCGGCGCCGGTGCCAACGCCAGCACCGCAGGTGGCACCGCTGGCGCCTGCGCCACAAGTGGCACCGGTGGTTGCTCCAACGGCGCCACCCAGTATGCCGCCAGAGGTGGCAGCCAGGGTCGCACCAGCACCAACTCAACCAGTCATGGCCCCACCATCACAAGCACCTCGAACAGCACCTCAAGTACCACCAAAAGTGGCTCCACAAACACCGCCACATGTGCCAGAACAACCAGGCTTGAGTTGCAAGGGTCATGTCATGTTTTTCACGTTTTCCAATGTTTTTTGCGATTTTCTTTCAAGCTGGGCAATTTGTCTTTACACAGGGCGAAGAAAAGTCGTCCGGGCCTAACATCCTGATTTCTTCCACGATCGGAAACTGACAGTGCCAGGCAGACTTTCACAGTTGGCAAGTGAAACTCCTGAGGTAGAAGAAGACTTTGCGGCCATTTATGAGGCTTGCTTGCGGTGGAACAAAGTTCTATCAAGATACCCCATACTTATTTCAGAGACCGAGATGTATCCAGGTATTGATTCTATTCACATCCTCAATTCTTTTGGGCACATCCAAATATAATAATAAACATTGTTGTGATAATGTTGACAACATACGCATGGTTCTTGGTGAATCAATTTCCCGCAAGACTCTTCAGCATTTGATGAGGTGCCAGGAGACATGGTTTGGAAACCATTGTCCTATGCGGAGAAAAACATCCTGAAAGCACGGAAGAAAATCCGTGAAGTGGAGAAAATCGAGGACAGGCTGTGGTTGGTCTCTAGCCCGGGGATCTATTTCGGGGATAGCTAACCACTTGACCAACTGACCAACTACAATGGGGCTTGATGGAGATGTCATCAGCAACGATGTGACAAATCCCAAGAAAAAGGGACTGATATACCCTTTGGTTATTTAACGTAGTTATGGAAAATGGCCCATTTATAGATGATTTATGATGATTTACCTATTGAAAAAGGTGATTTTCCATGGCTACGTTAAATAACCATAGGGTATATATATAGAATGGGCTAGCGCCCGGGTGCCGCCGACCCCCCCTATTTGGGGGGTCCTGCAGAGAGAGGGAGAGAGATAGATAGATGGATGGATGGATGGATGGATGGATAGATAGGTAGAGAGATAGAGAGAGAGAGAGATAGACAGATAGATAGATAGACAGTTGGATAGACAGATAAGTAGATGGAGAGATAGATGGATAGATAGCTGGATGGATAGATAGATAGATGGATAGATAGATAGAGAGGGAGAGATAGATAGAGGGGGAGAGAAAGATAGAGAGGGAGAGATAGATAGATAGAGAGGGAGAGATAGATACTCCGACGGCATCCGACGGCATCAGCGGTTCAGTGGGTCAGTGGCGCGTCGCTTCCGGCGGGCCGTGCTGAGGTCGATGGTGGTACATGGTGGGACAGACATGGACATATATGTTTTGATATGCCCCAACATGCCGCAATTCAATTTGCCACACAATGTGCAATGTGTATGCAATGAGTATGACGCTACAAATTTGAAGTCAGGCTTGAACCACCATAAAAGGACAATGCCGGGGCTGGCAAACGGCATGGGAGCTGCAGGGAAGCATTTGGGGGGTTTTGCGGGCTGGCAGACGGCAGGCTTGAACCACCATAAAAGGACAATGCCGGGGCTGGCAAACGGCATGGGAGCTGCAGGGAAGCATTTGGGGGGTTTTGCGGGCGGGCAAACGGCAGGCTTGAACCACCATAAAAGGACAATGCCGGGGCTGGCAAACGGCATGGGAGCTGCAGGGAAGCATTTGGGGGGTTTTGCGGGCTGGCAAACGGCAGGCTTGAACCACCATAAAAGGACAATGCCGGGGCTGGCAAACGGCATGGGAGCTGCAGGGAAGCATTTGGGGAGTTTTGCGGGCTGGCAAACGGCAGGCTTGAACCACCATAAAAGGCAATGCCGGGGCTGGCAAACGGCATGGGAGCTGCAGGGAAGCATTTGGGGGGTTTTGCGGGCTGGCCAGACGGCAGGCTTGAACCACCATAAAAAGACAATGTCGCAGCTGGCAAACGGCATGGGAGCTGCAGAGAAGCGTTTGGGAGTTTTGCGGCTGGCAAACGGCACGCTGGAACCCCCAGACAAGGACAATGCCGGGGCTGGCAAACGGCATGGGAGCTGCGGGGAAGCATTTGCGGGGTTTTGCGGGCTGGCAAACGGCAGGCTTGAACCACCCTAAAAGGACAATGCCGGGGCTGGCAAACGGCATGGGAGCTGCAGGGAAGCATTTGGTGGGTTTTGCGGGCGGGTAAACGGCAGGCTTGAACCACCATAAAAGGACAATGCCGGGGCTGGCAAACGGCATGGGAGCTGCAGGGAAGCATTTGGGGAGTTTTGCGGGCTGGCAAACGGCAGGGTTGAACCACCATAAAAGGACAATGCCGGGGCTGGCAAACGGCATGGGAGCTGCAGGGAAGCATTTGGGGAGTTTTGCGGGCTGGCAAACGGCAGGCTTGAACTACCATAAAAGGACAATGCCGGGGCCTGCAGCAGCCAAACGCATGGGGCTGCTTGGGTAGGGAAGCATTTGGGGAGTCTTGCGGGCGGGCAAACGGCAGGCTTGAACCACCATAAAAAGACAATGCCGGGGCTGGCAAACGGCATGGGAGCTGCAGGGAAGCATTTGGGGGGTTTTGCGGGCTGGCAAACGGCAGGCTTGAACCACCATAAAAGGACAAAGCCGGGGCTGGCAAACGGCATGGGAGCTGCAGGGAAGCATTTGGGGAGTTTTGCGGGCGGGCAAACGGCAGGCTTGAACCACCATAAAAGGACAATGCCGGGGCTGGCAAACGGCATGGGAGCTGCAGGGAAGCATTTGGGGAGTTTTGCGGGCGGGCAAATGGCAGGCTTGAACCACCATAAAAGGACAATGCCGGGGCTGGCAAACGGCATGGGAGCTGCAGGGAAGCATTTGGGGAGTTTTGCGGGCGGGCAAACGGCAGGCTTGAACCACCATAAAAGGACAATGCCAGGGCTGGCAAACGGCATGGGAGCTGCAGGGAAGCATTTGGGGGGTTTTGCGGGCTGGCAAACGGCAGGCTTGAACCACCATAAAAGGACAATGCCGGGGCTGGCAAACGGCATGGGAGCTGCAGGGAAGCATTTGGGGGGTTTTGCGGGCTGGCAGACGGCAGGCTTGAACCACCATAAAAGGACAATGCCGGGGCTGGCAAACGGCATGGGAGCTGCAGGGAAGCATTTGGGGCGTTTGGAAGGCTCCAAAACGTAGGCTTGAACCCCCATAAAAGGACAATGCCGGGGCTGGCAAACGGCATAGGAGCTGCAGGGAAGCATTTGGGGGGTTTTGCGGGCGGGCAAACGGCAGGCTTGAACCACCATAAAAGGACAATGCCGGGGCTGGCAAACGGCATGGGAGCTGCAGGGAAGC